GAGAGCAGGGAGGGGGGGGGGGGGAAATACCACAAGGCTGATTAGAGGATGGGCTGCAGGGGTGAGGGAGAGAGAGAAATGCACAGAAAGCACACAAACAGGGGAACTTGTAGGAACATGAATATTACATTAACAAATAACTAGACATAAGGAACACAGTTAAACTAGAGTAACTAAGAAAGGACCGAACTAAAGTAAAACAGAAACAAGGCTGATCTAATCAAATAATGAAACTATGGCAACCAAAGAACAGTAATCAAGACCAGAATCAAACCCAAAACAATCCATAACCTGACATATTCTACATTAAACCTACTGATTGCTATTTTGATGACTCAAGAAGACATAATTTAGCACAAATGTTGAACAAAGAGATTTTAGTATCGGTTTTAGGGTGTTTTACCTTTGTCCATATTTATTGCAACTGCAAATATTTCTAATTAATCACATTTGTGATTAATCAAGTGAAGGAAAAGTGTAGGAAATAATATTTTCAGCCACCTGACCAATGGTGCTGGCATCTCATGATGTAAACTCTAAGCAGATTGGAGGGGGGGTAATCTTATCAAAACATTTCAGACCCGTTTAATGTTCTTTTTCTTTTGCTTCCTCAGTCGAGCCATCAAGACGAACCAGGACCTTCTGCCAGAGACGCCGTGGACCAACATCCTGTATGACGATTTCTGGGGGACGCTGCTCACCCACAGCGGCAGCCACAAGTCATTCCGCCCGCTCTGCACCCTCTCCTTCCGCCTCAACTACACCCTGCACGGCCTGCGACCCTGGGGCTACCACCTGCTGAACGTCGTGCTGCACGGCCTGGTCACGGCCCTGGTCACGGCGCTCAGCCACTCGCTGCTCGGCAGGGGCTTGTGGAGCCTCCTCGCCGGCCTCCTGTTTGCCTCTCACCCGGCGCACACCGAAGCGGTCGCCGGCGTGGTCGGCAGGGCGGACGTCGGCGCCGCTTTGTTTTTCCTGCTGTCTCTCCTCTGCTACGCGAGACACTGCGGATTACGGGGTGACAAATGGAGGGCTTTTCAGAGGAGGACATGTGGCGGCGGCTCCGCCGCCAGATGCTGGGGCTGGATGCTGGGCAGCCTGTGGTGTGCAGCTGCCAGCATGTTGTGGAAGGAGCAGGGTGTGACTGTGCTGGCTGTGTCGGCCGTGTACGACCTCTTTGTGTTCCAGAAGCTGCGCGTTCGCCAGGCACTGCTGCTCCTGTTAGGGAAGGTAAATGAACTCTGGCTGCTTTTGTTTGTGGGGTAATTGTGTGTTTGTGAAAATGAGAAGGGGTAATTAGGAAAGCCATTAACTGGTGCTGACCCACAGCTGGTGCCTGAACATCAGGCTTCTCCTTAACTCGGTCCTTATCGCGGTAACCCCTCACGTATAGACTCTTTTTCCACGTTACCAAACAGACAAATCAAACCATCTTTCACCAATTTGCTAAACCCACTAGCCTCTAAAAATGTACTTTCACATCTTTTTTCCTGAAACCCCATTCATTTTCCTCAATTAATGAAAGCAAAGCTTTCTATGTCCTCGGGGCGTTGCCACCAACCTCATTTTGCTGCACGAAAACAAACATTTAGGCTCAGAAACATAAATTTGTATCCAAGCCTTAGACTGCACACGCTTTTATGGAAGAGGAAGACGTTTTCTCATATTAAGGTGACAAATGAATTACAGAGACAAACAACACCACATGCCTCTCAGGTGCTTTATTTGGCTCATTTGTCGGGTAAAGCCTTCCAAAAATACACAGTCGCGGCCCACGTGCTTCTGCTGCAGGAGCGCTCTGCAGAGATTCATTCCCCTCCCTTCACAACTCAAGGAATTTGAGGAGGACATCCTTGGCACAGTGACTCATCTGACAAGAAAAATGTGCGATTGAGCATAAAGCCTTCACACGCAGCCACTCCTCATTTGATTAGGGAAAAAGTCTGTTGCCAATGGGTATGGCCCTCGTAAAACGAATAAAAAGCATGATAAAAAGTCCTCTTGGGTTTACAGAGCAAGGGCAGTCTGGCTATGGGACAATCCTTGTTTTAGTGTTTTCCTCTTTTGGATATCTCTATAACTAACCTATTTTCCAGGGATCATTTCGCAGCCTATCACAAACATCTTAAAAAAACCTCTTGCCTCAATGAGACTTCGCTGTACCTTGGCAGTGCCGATAACTCAGGGCCAAACTACGCACAGTCATTCGCCTAGAGAGATCCAGCGGATCAAAAAGTTGTTTTAGTGTATTTTTATTTTCTGCGTTTGGCCCAAATGACTCTGCTGCTCCCCCCTTACTCACACACACACACACACCATCGCTACTCAACCTTAGCAAATACAACACCTGTCTTTTGAATCGTACCGAGTCAGAGTGCTGCAAAACTACTTATGAGTAATGATGCATCCAAAGGAAAATGTGAAATAAAAATATCGCAAATTGGATCATAAAGTATGACGGAGGCTCAGAAGCCCATCTTTTGTAATAAATTTTCCTTTTAGGGTCCAGCAAAAAGGATGCTCTGACACTTTGCGACCCACTTGGCAAATTTCAACTGGTTAAACACCAAGTGTGTAAGGCTGCAGGAAAAAAAAAAATAGAGAAGTGAGGGAAACAGTTGAAGACATGTGGGTAGCTTCACCACATCCTTGGCTACAAGACACATTTCTGACAAGGACAATTGTCAGCTTAAATACTAATTTATCACCTTCAGATGCACGTTTTCCAGTTTCGGTTCAAGTTATGGACTTCGTGTAAAAGTTCTGCCAATCCGTTGCGTTAAAACTTAAAACAGGTCTGAACATTTTCTGACGTAACACCTGTCCTTCAAATCATTGTGAGCCACAGCTGTGGAGGAGCTCATGGAAAATTTAAGACATTCAAATATAGCAAATTCAAGATGGAGAATTTAGCGCCACTGGGTGGCCTGATATGCAGATTTCAACAAACTGACTGCCATCTGCATAACCTTGTAGAAAAAAAAATAAACAATATGAAAGCTGGTATAAAAAAAATAAAAAATTCTTGAAGAAATTTCATAAACCACCTAACATTGATAGTTTATATGTAAAGCTGTTTGATCAGGTTTGTGGTTTTTAAATGCGCTATGTGGCTAAAATCGACAGTTGCATTTGGACTGCCACCAACGAAGGTTTGATTATATTTACAGATACATATTTCACAATTACCAACTTAGACGTATAAACAATTTAAGAACATGGAGCAACAAAGGCTCAATACAACAAAGCATGTAGGCTTAACAAACGGGCAAAGCTGGCCTGGATGCATTTAGAGAATTCTTGTTTACCCTCAAGTTGTAAAAACCGTGTTTAAATGAACCTGGTTTTATTGTTCCTGTATCCAGCAAATAAAACAAAGTCACGGCAACTAAAAAGAAAAAAGAACCACACCCAGAGCAATCAGGTAGGTCATAGATCTTAACTTTAGAGCTCAGTCGTGGTTTCCCTGCTTGAAGTGCATCCTGGGCGAGCTCCTCCCTGTCCAGATCTTCCTCATTTGGAAGCTAGATCTACATTTAGCAAATATTCAGCGAGAGAGTTTGAAATAGAGATGTTTGAATGCAGGAGAGATTCTTTAAACACAGCAGGTTTCCCACTTCCTATCGAATGGGCACTCAGAGAATTAACTTGTTTGGTTTGCAATGTAGTGAAACCATTTATCTTTTTTTTGTTTTTTGTCAAGCATGCATACCACCTACACCGCTGCGCCGCCCTGGGTGGTGAGCCACATCACCCATATCAAAACCCGTCACTGACAGCTCTTTTCAGAACATTTTTATCTATTCTCGTATATTTTAAGACCCAGTACAACTGGAAATAACCTCATCGTTTGGCCAGACACGGTTCTGTAGCTGTGAGCTGCATCCTTGTGCCAGCCTGTCGGATCTTCCAGCCCGACCCCCTGGTGTATCCGACAACACTGTGGGCACATCTGGCTCATTTATCACTCTGGCGGTGCCCTCCTCAACTGCCCGAGTCCCAGTTATCTTGGCAGGGAGCTCATTACGTGCTGAGGCCAGCCATGGAGCAATGGTTTCCTTGATTATAAGCCAGATGTCTGGGAAAGCATGGGAAAACAAAAGGAAGAGGGGTATGGAGAGACAGACTTAGCAGAAGAGGAGGAAACTATGGACTCATTTCCCTTTTTTCTTTATCTTTTCTTTGTCAGTCGGTGGCCCTTATAGCGCTTTGGGAATAGATTGTTTGCTTTCACCTGCTTTCTATCCTGCCAGCCAAACGCAAGTCAAGAGAAACAGCAAACGTGCATGGAAACTTCCAGCATTTTATCATATATTTTTTAATGCAATCAGGAGAATAAACAACCCAAGACATGACATCCCGACGCTGCTCTGGTGGATAAACACAAAAAAGAAACACAAGCCATTGGCGGCGCAGGGAGAACAGATGTGCTACCTACGAAAATGTCAGTTCTCGCTCTGTTTACTCTCTAAACAGACAGATTAGATTTCAAATAAGACAAGATGAAACGGGGAGAGGAAGTTAGAAAGTGACGGATGGCAACGGATAAAGGTGAGATGTTATCGCCGCGGTCTGTTGAGAAAACAAAACGCGCCCCGTTTGCTGGCGTAATGAGAACATAACGTCTGTTTTTTTTTCTTTTTTTCTGGCTGCTTTGGTTTCTTAGTATAGCACAAAAACAGACTGATGAATGATGCTCCAGACATTAAAACGGGGCTTTGGGTTCGTTGGTGTTAAGAAAAACCCATGACGTCTCTGCCAAGTCTGGTGTGTTAAACTTTGGCACGTGTGAAATGCATTTCATTTGAAAATCTGTGTTTAAAACCTGAGCTTGAATTTGAATTAATCCCTATTCTAAAAAAAAAAACAAAACAAAAAAAAATACACGTGTCTGATTATAGCTTTATAAATGAAGCAATGCGTTTCACACTCGTAATCCAAAATGAGAATAATGAATGTTTTATCAAGACGTAAGGTATTTTCTCACTCTACCTCATCATCCACTCTTTTTCGGGACAATCTCCCCAACAAAGTTGGACGTCTAATGTTTTAGCAGGCAGTGTAGGAATCTGACATTGTCTTTGCCAGTTTAATTTAAGCATCAGACACTCCTCCTTTCTCATTTGTCTCAATGAGCGTTGCAGACACACAGATTAAGTTCGGCTGACGGCTTGATGGATGTCGGGCCAATTATCCTGCAGCAGAGGCATTCAGCTGTGAAATGATGTTCTCAGCTGCAAGTTCTGCTGCATAGTCCTTATTTAGCGAGCGTTCGTGAAGGCAAGGAAAACACGCGGTTTGTGTTCTCTACGGAGCGGGGAGTGTCTCGAGTCTGATTCAATTAAAGCTCGCACTGTGCAATGTTGTCACGTAATTCTTGGCGCAGTTGGAACCAAGTTACAACTTCAGCTTTAAGCGGGTGTCATTGGGATGGTTTGCGATAAAAACCGAGATAAAGCAGTGCGTAATGGTGAAGTGGAACAAAAAAAAAAAAAAATGAAACGATTTAAATTATTTTTACAAATAAAAATTCCCAGACAGTGTGGCATGCATTTATCCTCAGCTCCACATGCCCTAACAGTCCTCAGTAAAATCCTGTGAGAATTGACCTGCTGCTTTGAAAAGCCGCCAAACCAGTTCTTTTACAGAACAAATTAAAAACTGGATGGAGCACCAGCACTGTTTTGGTGGAAAATCCATTAAGAGGTCCCACTAACTAAACTAAAATCAGTTCTGTTATTAGAGTTTTTTGTAAACCACAACAGACCCAAATCCTTTTGAGTTTACATAAAAGAGACACTCACCACAAATCAAAATCATTAACATTTTTTTTTTTTTTTTTTTGCTAAATTAAACCCAGCAGTTCCGTAGAAGCACATTTTGAAGTCCTGCACGATCATATCAACATCTGGTCTGAGACCACATTCATGCTAACCCCCGCATGACGTTTTACAACCAGAAAACAGACTTCTTTGCAAAACCAAGACAGAAAAAAAAAGTAGTTTTATGTTTTCATTTGTGATGTCTTTAATATATCTTCCTACATTTTTGTCCTGGGTTGCAACCAACATGCACAACTCTGATCAATACACAAATCCATTTTTCTGCATGTGACGCCATAAAAAAAAGGTAATCAGCAAGTACAAATTTCTTTCCTTTTATAGTCATGTTTGCGTCACTCTGCTTCTCTATATGCTCCAAAATTGTGTTGAGCATCAGTTCAACCTGTGACCCAATCCCTGCCATCAGCAACACATCTTTCATTAGGATAACTACAATATACTCTGTATACTTCTTTCCATTTCGGCAGCAACCGCGCCGTTGTGTGATGACTTGGAAGACTCCTGCCAAGTCAGCACAATCCAGGAAACATCAGACCGGTGCAACCCTCATGGTGTCTTTCATCATAATAACTAAACGTATCACTGGCAAGGCCTCAAATCAGAGCTGTGTGCGTGTGTGTGTGTGTGTATGCAGGAACTATCTTGGAAGCACTGAAAACATTTTCCACATGCAAGCCGCTTGCTCTCTGCTTTAAGGTTTCCCATTAAATGAAGAACAAGTTCCTCAGTTTAAACTTTATGAATAAGGAGTTTGAAAGCGCACCCTGTGATTTTTTTATTTTATTTATTTTTTTTTTTTACTTCAAGGAGTTATGAACGGTTTATATTGGACGTGCCTCGAACAAGAAAACAGAAAGATCGCCTCCCCGCTGCGTTGCGTCAGTCCGCAGCCATTTCAGATGGTGTTTGCATGATGTCAGACGTGGCTTGCCGTTTCCTCTGACAAGTTTGAAAACCTTCCCCAGAGTACGGTGTCAACAGGCAGACACAATAAAGTGAGAGGGAATAATGACTAGCAGAGTTCGGAGATAAAAGTGGAGGCCCGCGCTGTTGGTTTCGAAAAACTGAGCGCAAAACGGATCAGCCAAATGAAAGAAAGATTGTTGAGAGGATAGTCCTTTTTATGGGAAATGCAGCAAAATTAATTAAATAAATTGTGAGATGCAAAGCAGTTTTATAGGCTTGAACGTGTTAATTGATCCAATATGGAGCCAAAGTGCCTGAATGTCTGAAAGTAAATCTCTAGGAGAACAAAAACTATTGGAAAGCTAAACAACTTCAAAACTAGAGGATCAAACTCAAAGACTGCTCTGTGTATTATTAACAAAAAAGAATAAAGAAACGAAACCTAATTCAAAAGACAATATTGGTTTAGGTATGATAAAAAAAATGAAACCCACAAGACAATTAAACCCAAAGAACATGACATTTCATCTACAGATTCTACACCAGAGATGCAAAGCTACTCAGAACTTTAACACTAATGGTTCCAGTTGTTAACAGAAACCTCTTTTCGCTTTATTGGCCTGTTGCCTCTACGCCGAATTAATTAGAAAGCTTGATTAAAGTTAACTGTAAATATCCTCTTTGTTTTTGCTGAATTTGTTGGGTCGCAATCCGTTCGAAAGTCAATTAAAGAGCAATTTAGGAATTGACAAGGCAGCGAGACGCTGCACGGACCTCATTGGGCTAAATACCACAAATTACTCTCCTGCTGGAATTGGCTTATCTTCCAGTACAAAGCAAAATTGGATTCCTCAGTCAGTTTCCTCCATTGACTAAGAATATAGGCTCAACCGTCAATAAACACATCCACCGGTTTGTGCGCCAGACACTCTTTCTCCCTGCTTTCGTACAATAGAGTGTCAACGTAAATATCCAATGTCTTTCCCATTGTCACTTTCATGTTCAGAATGTTGAACTTCTAGAAACAGACATATTATGTCTGTTTACAAATGATTTTCCAGAAGTGGTATGCGATCCTTTGCTGCTTCTAGTCATTCATAGACAAACCTTTCCAACAGTAAACTTGTCAGAGGGGAAAAACAGTTAAACACCAGTAGGTCAAGTAAGTCTGCTTAACCTCTTATGGTTTCTGTCACTGTACACATTCAAGCATGCAGACTGGAAAACAGCGCAACACCTCTTTACTCCGAGGCTAGGAATGAGGGATGAGTAAGATGAAAGGGTTAAGGATGATGGACAAGATGAGAAGGGGGTACATATGAAATGTGAGAAGGATGAGCTGGGTGGAGATGAATGAGGGATGGATTAGATGATAGGGGGGGTCGGGCATGATGAGAGATAAGACTCTTAAATGAGTGACGAAGATTATTTGAGGGCAAAAGGGTTAAGATGAGAGAACAGTAGGAAGAATGAGGATCGAACGGGGTAAACGGGGCGAGACGAATTAAGAATGATTGATAAAGATGAATGAAATGAGAAGAGGTTGGCTTAAAGGATGAGGCAAGTAGAGAAGATCGAGGGAGAGTGGAATAAATAGAATAAGCAGCATGAAAATGCCTGTGGATGACGGACTGATGAGGTGGAGGAATGAGGCTTGAGGTGAAAGAATACGGTTTAGAAGAAATTAGAAATTAACAAGATGAGTGTGATTAGAATCGACTATTATCAGAGGAGTGGGAATCAAAGAAGAGAAATCCCCCAAATGGCAAACTGCCCTGAATGAATTAACCAGCTAAGTGGTCAAGATATGGTCCTGATTCTGACCCACAGCTGAGAACAGGACAGACGTACTTAATAAAAATGTCTCCTAACTAGGTTGTGCTAAAAGGAAGCATCAACATCACCTAGTAATATATGAGATTTCATTTGAGTGCACATACTCACAGCACCGGTTCCCTGAAGACAGGTTCAAGCAGAGTTTACAGTACATTCATGCCTGGAAATGAAATAAATAGGCTATAAAAGTAGGAAGCTAGCAGCACGGCTGTAATCACCATCTTTTATAATATCTTTTATTCCGGCCCCTCGGTGGGATGGATCATGAATAGGAATTACTTTTGCAACAGGGGTTCTCCAGGTTTTCCCATCTCATTTGTTTTTGCTTGAATTAAAAATAACTTCTTTTTTTTCCATCATTAGCAAAAAAAAAATTTAGGTAATAATCCTTGGGGTGAAACGATGTATCATGACAGGAGATGTTGGGACGATCCGTTCTTATCTCTTATTATCAACAGAAAGTTGACTTCTGCAAATTGGAAACTAATATCTGAAACTTTTTAGGTACAAACTGTCTAGGTAGTGATTAATTCCTGGGTTGTGACGTGGTAGTTATGTCCGAAGCATGAGATGTAAACTCCACCTACACACCTGCACAAAATAACCTCATTACACGTCACATTTAACAGTAATGCTGGCGGGCAACACTAATAAGGCTTTGGGGTGGAAAAAAAAAAAAAAATCCTTCCGTGCATGCAGTTTCGAGCACAACTAGGTCAGAACTGGAGGAGTGTAAATTACTAATATGTGGAAAGTTATTAAAGTGTTTTGACACTTTTCTCCTTTCTGCTTTGAGTACTTTGGGATTTTCCCCCTCGTTATGCGTAGTGAAACCTCGCCGACTCGAAGGAATTTATTGGCGAGGCCGATCTAACGCGCACTAATCTTTTCCTGCACCGAGTACTCGCATACTCAATTTAAAAATGATTACTCCATTAAATAGCGGCTCATGTTGCTCCTTACCAAAGTGCTAACCACTGCGGTGCACGGCTGTCCGAGAGCGTCTTTCAACAGTTTGGGTTTGTCACCATTCCCATGTCAACAGGGCGATATTTTCTCTGACAGCGATAACGTCAGAGTATCCCATTGTTACAAAGAACAACGTGTTATTTTCCCGTTAGGGTGGTTAGAGGGAGAAAGCAAACAAAAACATTTCATTAGGTTTTATTCTTTTTTTTTTTTTTTTTACTAAAACAGTAGATTGAGGAACTGAGAGTTCTCTAGAGTTGCACAAAGAAATGGATTTCTACTGGATGTCACCTTGCTTATACATTTATAAGCATATGAGAACGTGATTCATGCCTCTTTTTCAAGTTTTGACCTAAACCAAGTGTATATAAATATATGTGTGGGTGTGTTTTCTTTCACATATTTATTCAGTTGTTTCACCTTTTCGTTTCTCTTTCAGAAAAAGAACCTAAGCGTTTTGCTGAGTCTCTGCACGTTGGCCTGCTGGGGAGTAATTCTGCTGTCAGTCCGCCTCTACTGGATGGGAAACAAGCCTCCAAACTTCTCCAACTCAGACAACCCAGCAGCCGACTCTCCACATTTCCTCACTCGAACGCTAACATTCCTCCACTTGCCTGCTGCCAATGCCTGGCTCCTGCTCTGCCCCGACAAGCTCAGCTTTGACTGGTCCATGGACGCCGTGCCCTTGGTCAGGTCCTTGGCCGACTGGAGGAACCTTCACACTGCTGCCTTTTACTGCGGGTTGATCCTCCTGGCTTTGTTCGGCTTCCGCGGTGCCACTGTCGCAGCGAAGGAGACCAACGGGAAATCCCATCTTGCAAATGGAAAGTCGGTCACGAATGGGAATGGTTACCATGCCCCTGACACAAACCAAAACACGGATCTGCCAAAACCCACTCTCAATGGGTCCGCTGTACCTCACCGCTGTTACTCCCACACATCCCTGCCCCCCACAGAAAGCTTAGTTGCGTTTTCACTAGGAGTACTGGCATTGCCTTTCATCCCAGCCACCAACTTATTCTTTTATGTGGGTTTCGTGATTGCAGAGAGGGTACTTTACATCCCCAGCATAGGCTATTGCATACTAGTTGCGACAGGTGCACGAACGTTGTATGTTAGACTGAGGACTAGAGCCTGCAAGGCTGCGATGTTGTGCCTTTGCATCGGACTTGTGCTACTGAACGGGCTCAGAACAGTTCAAAGGAACAGAGACTGGAGCAACGAAGAAAATCTTTACAAGTCTGGGATCCATGTGAACCCTGCAAAAGGTGAGAGGGTCTTCAGTTCTCAGGATGTCTGCTGACCCTGTATGTATGAAGTACCTTGCAAAAATGTCTGTTTTCTTTAAACATTTTCATGTTTTGTACCACTACAATCACAAATCTACTTATATTTTTTATTGGGACTTCTCCTGCATGTTTGCTTTGACCCAATATGGCTTATAGCAGAAATGTGTGTATGTTTTCCTTTCAATTCACGCTACTTTGTGTTGATCCATCATATAAAATCCATCGAAATGACATGAATGACAAGGCATGGAGTGTTTTACAGGATTTGAGAAGTGCTGCAAGGCAGTGTAAATGAGTCCAAACTGAAGTTGGAGATTTTTCAGCAAAGACCAAGAGTTTGTTTTCCCATTTTGTGAGCGTTTGATTGACATATGTCTCCCATAGCCTGGGGAAACCTGGGAAACGTACTGAAGAACCAGGGCAAGATGGAGGAGGCGGAGAAGGCATACCGAAATGCTCTCCACTACCGAGGGAACATGGCTGACATGCTGTATAACCTGTGAGTGTTCAAAAAAAAAAGTCACACCTCCTCTCTTGTCAGAGTCGTGACACAAATAAGCTCTGATTCTGTGAGGAAGCGGCAGCATCAGACCAAGAGCTGCAGAATAAAAGAAAGGCAGAAAGAACTTAGAGGGTGCAAACTAAAATAGATCCAATGCAGCAGTAATAGAGCTGGTGAGACACACAGCAAGAGTGTGACAGACAGGAAATAACTTTTGTGTGTCCCTCGAGGCTCTTTGTACCTTCTGCTCCTGATTTGATCAGTCTTGTTTGCCGAGCCTGTGGGAGAGTACGAAACAATTTCTAATCCAGCAGGCGTCAAAGGTGCCGAACCACCCGACGGACCGACGCTGTTCTGCTCCCGTCTCTCTACTCCTCCTCTAAAAGTTGTGAGCATCGATAATAAGCTTCCGATTCAACATAAAGCAAACGTGTCATGTCATTCTAAGAGACAGAGAAGCTGTTTGTGCGTGATAGATGTTAGGATATATTGTATGGTCTTTGCGGATATTTTGCTTCCAAAATCTCACTTATCTTTTTTTTTTTAGAAACCGTCAATTAAATTGGAGAAAACCTGTGAAAGAGTGCAGTGATGTAAAGTTTTTCATACTTCTCTGTTTTCCACCAGGGGTTTGCTGCTGCAGGAGAGCGAACGTTTCTCCGAGGCGCTGCAGTATTACAAGCTCGCCATTGGGAGTCGACCAACTTTGGCATGTAAGCCGAGTCTCCTTTTGCTGCTGCCATGATATTGTAAAAACATGCAAGAAAAAAAGCGATCTTCGATAAACCGCCTCCTTCCCGTTTGGTTTGGATTCGTCAGGATTGATTACACGCCAGCCAATAATCTCTTATGAAATGCCGCGACTCTCCGGTTTTCAAGTTGAACCGGTCGCTTTGTCGCCAACGACGTGATTTAAAAGCCCTCACTCAGCTTGACGGAGAAGTGATCACGTTCAATCTCACACCCGAGTGCTCACACACGAGATGATCGTTTGTCTTTTACTTTACCAAGGGCGATGTTAAATAAAAGAAGAGAAATTTCCCTTCAGCACATTCGGTGTGATGAATTACCTTTGAATCTTTGTGAGCTTTATCTCTTCCAGGTGAATGCATTTCTATCCCCCTCTTTTCCTATATGTATTTAATCAGCTTTTTGATCTCTTCCTTTCTGTCGCCATATTATTGCTTTTATCCATGGCACTTCACTTTCTGATTGAATAGGCATTTTTAAAAAAAGATTTTACTGTGATTCATCACACTTGATTTTATACATTGTATAACTTAAATAGAGGGCTGTGTTTGAGAAAAGCGCTATATAAATAAAGTGTACTTCCTGTTCTTGTTGCTACCATTTATTTCAGTTTCATTTCTTTTTCTCTTCAGGAATGCCGGGATGTAGTTTATTATGTTTGTTTCAGTAAAAAAAAAAAAAATGTAAATAAAAATTCAGGAAAAAACATGCTTTCTTTACTTTTTCCTAGCAACAGATAGGGTATTCATTTTAATGAACGTTCTGGTGGTTTGTTTTCGGAAATCATTTCCCTTTTAATTTTCTATTTAGGCTTAACCCTTTCTGGTCTCTCGACTTTTGCACGCAGCGGCTTACTTGAACACAGGAATAATCCTCATGAACCAGGGCAACCTGGAAGAGGCCAAGCGCACCTTCCTCACTTGCGCCGACATTCCAGATGAAAACTTGAAGGACCCTCACGCCCACAAGAGCTCAGTCACCAGCTGCCTGTACAACCTGGGGAAGCTGCTTCACGAGCACGGCCAGCAGGAGGTCAGTCTTGCTGACGCATTTGTATTCAATAGCACCGAAAAGACTAAAAGCAAAACTGCTAAAAGCATAAATAATTTTTGCTTTATGCAAAATGAAGTCTCAGCTTTTAAATTGCTTCCCCCCGCCTCCCCTCTTGTGCTGCAGGAGGCTCTGTATGTTTATAAAGAAGCAGTGCAGAAAATGCCAAAACAGTTTGCACCACACAGCCTTTTCAACATGATGGGTGAGTTACAGTTTAAAATGTGGAGTCTTTGTTTGCAGTCAGGTGTGTTAAGGGGTTGACACATTAATTGCAACAGAGATTACTGCTTTTAAATGAGAACTCGCTGTGATGCGAGTGCAGCAATTTAAGGTGGAAATGCAAAACATTCAGCAAAACAAATCGACTGGACTCGATGCCGATTAAAATATGTGGACACACTCTCCCCCCCCATAGAAGATGATTTAGGAAGAGCTGTGTTAAACCTTGCTTCCCCTTCTGTGTTATTCTAACACTAATTACATTACTCAAAGCTCATCCTGGTGACATAGTTGAGATTTCATGGGAATTAAATTCCTGGGACAGAGTAGAGGAGGATTAAGGAGTATATTTAGTCAGGTGGTTTGAAGGTTTTAGGGAGCGACGGTGTTTGTATTCGTACAGCGATGGCTAGCGGATACGTTTTCAAAACTTGATGTCATTTAACTGGTTCGTTGTTACAGACACGGGATCCATCCCTACTGCCGAGTCTTTGGATTTGTATACAGCAATGTTAATGCTAGAAATTCAGGAGTATTGTTCTTAAACGGGGTAGTTTTATGGTAAGGATGAAAAATATATATAAAACAATTACTCACCATTGGGTTGTCTCAACCAGGATTCCCTGTTCATGGTCCAGATTGTTGGGAACTGAGATTTCCCGATAACCAATCCCAGTATCAGTATTTCGTTAAAATCAACACCGTCGAAAATAGAACAAGAGGATCCATACAGGGATTCATTAAAGTCACGGAAGAGTCACTCTTAACATTCGTCTTGACAAACTGCACCGATTGGTTATTCCACAGTTACTATGGGGTAACTAAGCATAGTGAGTGAATATGCAAGATGCTCAAAAAACACTTCCATCTTCTAAAAATAACTTTTTTAAAGTTGTTTTTTTTTAAACTTCTATGACTAATATTTATGTTAGTATCTCACGTAAAATGCTAACTGTCTGCCCTGGTGTGTGGTGCGTTTCAGGAGAGGCCTATATGCGGCTGAACAGGCTGGAAGAGGCCGGGTACTGGTACAGAGAGTCCCTCAAAGCAAAGCCTGACCACATCCCTGCCCACCTCACCTACGGCAAACTGTTGTCAATCATTGTACGTCCCTTTGCAGACACACAAACTTACACCGGCAAAACAGATGTACTAAACATTATGATCATCCCAGTGGTTAATAAGGCCAAAGGGTCTATTACTTTAACAAACTGCTTCGTAAGAACTGTATAAGTGTACGTTGAAATTTCTTTGGGAGTTAAGAGAGTCCAGATAAGAAACGCTTATTTTTAACCGAATATGTTCCTGGTGTTATTTTTGCAACCATGTTTGTTAAGAGATATCCTAGACAAAATGGCCAAACTTGGAGCGGTGACGTTATGCTCATTTCCTCAGCTTCCAGCTTCTCCGCCATGCTACGACAACAAAAGCAAGACGTGGCGACAGATGTGTTCACAGCTGAGCTGGGTTTAGATCGGGGGGAAATGAACTGTTTGCTCTTTGCGACCCCCCCCCCCTCCACCCGTGAAGATGCATGACCTCCTTCCTTCCTCAGCCCTAGGCGCAGAGCTGAAGACGCGACAAGCCTCTGAAGCTGCGCGCGTACTCGCAGCTGCGATCTTTCAGGCCTCGATCCCACAGCTCCGTTGTTAGCGGAGACCTGAGGATAGCGAAAACTTGTACTTACACGTGTGTCGCCTCGAGTGGCCGGACATCTGCTTGGCTTTCTGGGATTCGGGGTGACAGAACACACATCCACGTCCTCCGCTATGCAGAATGAGAAACAAGAGGATGGATGAATCTTGAATCAAACACCAGATGACAGGCTTATAATGGAATTACTCCATTTCCTTATTAAATCACTTCGGTTTTGGCTGTAAACCCTCAGTCAATCAATGACACTGTTAGCGTTGGGAAAGTTCCACCTGAACTTTTGCGCTCCTGGACAGGATTTCCCAGAGTACAGCTTTGTTTTCTCATTTTTTATCCCTAGCATTTGCCTGCATATAAAGACATTTGTTAACCTAATGAATTCATCACCAAATTCCCAGAGATTGTCATAAAAAAAAAAAAAGAAGAAGCTTACTTTCTCCTTTCACACGAGCCTGAAACATTTCATAAAATACTCCGACGGACGACCTTCGGTTTTCATAGACAGTTGGAGGAGAAATTTAGAGAAATTTAGAGAGAGCAGCCAAAAGGAATTGTGAAGCAGGCTATCCACAGCTAATATTCCTCCTCATTCATTTAGACCAAGTTCAGACACAGGAGGAAGCTAATGAGGCAATGTTAATATGGACGGCCCTCTCATTTCCTATTGAATGGCAACCCCACTGGCAATATGGAAGCAATCAGTGCCGAAGCATGAAGCAGAAGTGCTGCAGAGGAAGCTTTTTTTCCCCTCTCAGTTTCAATGCTGCTCTACACTTGTAAACAGAGATTTTTTTTTTAAAACAGTTGCCAAAAATGCACAATTAGAACTAAATTACATAATAATTAATGGTTTTGTTAGAATCCTGATAATTTATGCTCTATTTTTTTTTACCCCCACCAGGAAATCAGCCTAATTATGCAAAATATGCACAAATATGAAATGTAATATATGTTTTTGCTCTATCCTCCTCCTGATTATACCGAAACGGAAACTTCTAAGCTTAATTACTCGCCGCAACTTGTCTGCGTCTCTCCTTTCAGGGGGAGAAAACCGAAGCGGAGAAATACTACATGAGAGCAATTCAGCTCGACCCAACTAAAGGAAACTGCTACATGCACTACGGTAAGAAGCAGAAGACACTTATTAATAGGCACGGCGAACCGCTTTTCAAAAAGGCGTTTCAGATCCGTCGCTCACATTTCCAGAAATATCTTCACAGTTTTCTCAGTAGTTGACAGCACGTTGTCTTTAATGTGATGAACTAATCTCCCATCAAACCTAAAAGTGAGGAGATTATTTTTTTGTGTGTCTGTTAAAATACATTGAAGGTCTTCACACTTTTTCTTTCCAGAAGATTTAACATCTTGTTCCGTTATTTGTAATACCATCTCTAATAGTTACAAAATGCCATGATTTTCTCTGGGCCTTGGCTTTGTGTGACCACTGATGATTTCATTCCCTCCAATGAAACTGATAGCCTCGAAGTTTCCAATTTGTTAAAGGCTTTTTTCCCCCTGTGATCTACAGTTGACAAAGCGATGGCGGAGGGGAGGATTTGTTTGTTTGGATCTCCACTCTTTAAATGTACTCTCTGAGATGAGTTTTAGTGGTAAAGTCACATCACATCCTGGCTGCAAAGTGATGTGCCCTTCTTTGATTTGGAACGTGTGAGCTTACAAAAGCAAACTGAATTAAAATGAGGATTAAAAGAGTGACATTTTTCCCGCTTTTGAAGAGGAAGTTGGATTCAAATCTAACAGGAGTAGGGGGATTCTGTCTCCCATTCTCCTTCGGGCCAGAGACTGTTATTGATTGAATTCGAGGTTTATCTGCAGCCCCCTTCACAGCTAACAACACAAAATACTCTTAAGTTGGTGCTTGCAGCTATTAAAGCGTGAGCCGTTTGAAGTTTTGCAGACAGCGCGGAGATACAGTGTTTACTGTAGGTTAGACAGAAAAACATGGCGCGGTGTTGCCCCTCCGCTTCCGTTTCATTCCAGACTGAAGAAACGGCCTCCTTTGGTGCTCTCTTTGGTTAATATCTCCAGGATATTCGGAGGAAATGAAAAGCGTCCTCATGCTGAAAGCCCCGTTGTGCAATGCCCTCTTTCTCCACTTCCTTATCTCCCTCCGTCCCTCCCGCTTCTTTCCCCTCGTCTGATATCTTTTCGTTTAGCTTGGTCGGTAGCAGGAGGTCTGTTGCTGTCTTTGGAGCGAGCCGTTTCCTGCTCCGAAGCCCTCGCGCTCTTTGCTCTAGGTCTTTTTTTTTATTTCCCACCATTATCTTGGAGTCTCTTGCTAAAGGTGCTGTTTGTTTTTATTTTTTTCTGGGCTGTTTCATTTCTTTATCTGCAATCTGTCTGCTGCAGTTATCGTGGATTTGCTGGATGAGCCTCAACTATGAGTTTGTAGTGGATATCAGTCCACAAAGTCTCTCGAAAGATAAATGCGCGGGCGTGCACGTGGGAATGAACTCGAAAAGCTCCTCTTTTCCGGTCACTGCGCCCTGCAACACATTTTAATGCAAGCAACCCCCCTTCCTCCTCTACGCTACCCTTTGTGAAAAGCCTCACCAGGTGGCGAGACTACATGAATTACCTCCATCTCATCTTTATTCTGGAACAACAGCGAACAAAGCAATCACAGCCCCACATTTTCAGTCTTGTCTCTCGTTGTTTTTTTTTCTCTTCCTGTCCTTCAAAGTCGCCAATCATCTGGGGTCCGTCTCTAAAAGCTTCCCCCCCTTCTTGGTTTATTTCGACAAGTAACTCCCGTCACACGGGAGCAGCATGGTATACCATGATAATTGAAAACCTCCTCCCCCTAAGAAAAGTAATTCAAAGAAAAATCCCCCGCGCTTCAGAAAAAGAGGTTATTTTTGCTCGCTAGCTGAAGGAAGCTATAAACATCTTAAAGCTGCTGAGCTTATATTAGTGCATGTTGTGCCCGTAATGACAAAGCTATACTTTTGGGAGGAGGAAATTAGCAGTGGTGTGAGCAAAAGCTGCTCATACTTTATTAAGCATAATAGCTCTCTTCTTTGTTTTTCCTAATTCTTTGTCATTTTTAACAAAAATTATCTAACCTTTTGAGTCAGTTACTGTACTTATTTTTATGGATTTGGGGAAATTTTGTAACTGCTCCTATTTATTTATTTTTTGTCAGCAAGATTACAAAAATGTAGTGATGTGGTAAATATTGTCTATAAAAGTAGATACTTTTATAGACATAGTATTTTTTACTATGGACCTCTTTTGTGTCTGAAATAAAGATTGATTGATATCTGTTTAAGTAGATTTGACTAGGAAAATGTGATGCCTAGCAACTGTTCAGAATATAGCATTTTTAAAAATTATATGTAAAAAGAGAAAAAGCCTCTTAAAATGCATATTTTGAACAGTACTGCAGCTGAAATGCACTCGACAAACAGACCAAGGCATATCAAAGGATTCAGTGTAATTAAATCATAGGTGTTTGGTTTAGGGTAGCATATTGGAAACACATTTATAAGTAAAACCACCATCAAGGAGCCATGAGTTTTACTCATATTCTTTGATTATTTATTCTATATTTTTGTAAGTCTACCTTCTGTTCTGTTGAATAGAAACAAAAAACAAAAGGTCCTTTGTTTACCTCCAGGTCAGTTCCTGTTGGAGCAGTCTCGTCCTAAAGAAGCAGCGGAGATGGCCGAGAGAGCTGCCGAGCTGGACATGGATGAATTCGATGTGGTCTTCAACGCTGCTCACATGCTCAGGTCGACTGCTTGTAAACAGAAACATTCAGGGGGGGTTAGGAGGGTGGGGGCTTCCCCACCTTCGGTGAATGGCAACATGTTTCCAGAAATGTCTTGGAACTCCATATCTGTCGCCAGCTCCTCTAGCATTTGTGGTTTATTTCCATCGCTGTGTTTTTACGGCGTCATTTAAAAATAAAAGTCATACGATAAACATAGGCTGTAAAAGATCTATGCAGCTTCGGTCCGTCTTAATGAGGTTTCACCCCGGGACTTATAAAGAGAGCCGTTGGAGAATTTTCCTTCATAAGTCTGGCAAGCGCATCCGCAGGCAACTTATAAATCCTAAAGAGTGTCAAAAGGGACTTCACACGACCTCCCTCTCCCAGCATCTCCGTAGCAGAATGGAATATTGGAATGATGAGCCTTAATTCTTTTCTGCTCAACATATCTGCTGAAGTCATTACTGCCTGCCGGCATCCCCTCTCGGAGCAGAGGATTTGTAACAAGTCCGACATTCTCGGAGCTTGGCTGTGGGTTTGCCGCTGAAAGCACCGGAGTATATCTAGATGACAGATTAGCCCTGCCGTGTTCCGACTCACTGGTTCTTTCAGCCGCGAGGCTTCATGACATCAATCCAGAGTGATTAGGGTTTAATGATGTGACAAACACCTGTTAACGCCAACATGCGTTGTGGAGACGAGCTGCAAGCCTCGGCTTGTGCAGATTTTTATCCAAAGTCGTTAACGAAACTGGAACACCCAACGAAAGCCGATATGTCTTAATAACATATTTGACCTAAAATGAGAAATTCGAGCAACTCGAATGAACAATGAGAGCAGTAGAAACGAGTTTAGATTTTCTCTAAAATGCAATAAAAGTGATATCTCTTCTTAGGGATAAAGAAAAACGCCCCACATTTATCCCTTCTTGTAACTGCTAAAATTAAGCGCAGTGGCACACGACTAAAAGATCACTAGTAAGCATTTCAATGAGTTTTGTCTAGTTAAAAACAACTTATTTTAGTGGGCTGCCAAAGTTTTTGAGACATTATTGTACGATCGAAGGAGCTATCCGAGACCTTCAAAAAGAAGATTGTAGCATTGTCATGTTGTTGAAAAACAGTTTAAGTTGAAATCGGTCATTTCTGAAAGAAGTCTCCGAAAACCCTAAAACATCAGCTGAATGTGGCTACAGTGCATAATGTGAAAGTTCATTTCTGTACAGTCAGAAAGAATCTTTTAAGGGAAATGTGCAAGAAGGAAAACTTTTCCTCTCGAAGGAAAACTTGAGTCCAAAGACTGAAATTTTCCCAGAGAGAAGACCAGAGCTTCTGGAGTAATGTTCTTTGTAGATTTGTCTAAAACTACCCTTTTTTTTAGACCAGTACAGAGGACATGTCTCATAAACCAACATCATGGGAAAAGAAACTCATATCAACTGCAAAGCATGGAGGTGAACGTGTCATTATTTCGGATGGCCACATTTACTTTCGCCTTCCTGAGTCTTTGTGCTCTTTTAAAACGTTGAGAGCTCCAACCCAAGCAAACTCAAGAAGCTGAAGCCATTTTTTGCTTACGTCGGAGCTTTATGGATACAAATTGCATTGCCGGGAAGGATTTTTCTTATTTTTGCTTATTAGTTTTGGCGAAGCGAACTCTTCGTGTAGTCTCTGAATGTTTTTCTACGTATGGAGCGCATGAACTGCTGCAGACTAATGTATCCGGCTGTGACATGTGAGGGGAGGACTCGTCGACGTTTCAAGGCTTCTTGGCTCCAGTCGCATCTTTACATCCGTGGGATCAGAGTGAATGCTGACCGACTCCAGTGTTGTTAGCAAGTGTTGCAACACTTGCTAACAACACTTTGTTTCATCATAATCGGCCTTACTGAAGTCCACAAATGCAATTTTCTAATCACTTTACTGAAGCTAAAACTATTTAACTGCTTCATAACATATCAGTTCAATGTTAAGCTCAATATTTAGAGAATTACACATTTTATTTAGTAGTTTCTGTCTATCCATACGTTCATATTCAGATTTTTTTATAGCCTTTGGAAGCTCACTAAATGATTACGTTTATAAAAGCTGGGTGACTGGCAGGATTTGTATTGAACTTGTAAATGTTATTCAGATGAATAGATCCTCTCTTTTGTTAATTAACCTACTTTATTGATACATTTTTAATGATCAACACATTTTCGCGAAGTCTTTTGCCATTTTTTTGCGGGTGGAGGTGTCCCAATTAGCACGTTCGTGTGTCAATAACATGTTGTCGTGATGCGCTGTATGTAGCGTGTAGTTCGGTGCATGAAGCAACTTGGCTGAAGATAAGAACAGAGTTATCTATATATATAACCTCAATTTGATCAACTTTAGGGCATAAAGAGAGGAGGAAGAGAATCCCAGTGAGGATCCAAGTGCAAACGCCGAAAAGGTTCACAGTGTACCAGAGGAGAAATCTGCTCCGGAAAAGCAGCCTGTGTCATATCTCAGATGTATTCATTCTGTTTCTTAGATTTATAAAAAATTGATATGGCAACACCGTTCATGTAACTCAGGGTTGTTAAGATGAATGAAGCTAAACACAGGCTGAATTTTGGATAAAAGACTTGAGCTTTTGAGGCTTTAACACAGTTGCAGAGCTACAGAATAATCAAGATGAAAGCATATTCATTTGTCAGAATGACTCAGACCTAAATTCAGCAGTGATTATCTGTAGATGAGCAAAAAGTGGTGCAGAGGGATCACAGAGTGAAATATGGCAACACAATGATTCAAGGAAAGTATCGTTTTCCTTCCACTTTTCACGTGTGCAGCACTTTTGTTGTTGTAAATTCCAATAAAATACATCACGATTTCCAACCGTAACATGACAAAATGTGCAGATCCTTTAGCTTAATTTAAAAATAAAAGGATTCTTATGCAGATTATAACCAGTATGCATTTTTCTGACTGCTGCTTTTGCTTTCAGAATAGCAATAGGAATCAATTTTGTCCAACTCTGTTTTAGTTGCACACCGTAGAGCAGAAAAAAATAGGTAATACTGTGTGTTGTTTGCGTGACAAGTAATGCATGAATCCTGCAAAAATAACACAAGGCCGGGGTTACGGGTATTTTATTTTATTTTTTAAATCTGTGTTCTTCTTCCTCCTCAGACAGGCCAATCTAAATGAAGCAGCAGAGCGGCAGTATAAACGTGCAGCTAGCCTCAGACCAGATGTAAGTACCCGGGCCTGTTTGCACTTATTATGGAACTGCTGCGCACACGTCTGCTCTGTAAATTCAATTTACAACACCGTGCACTTTTCCCCCCTGCCCCCCGCCACCCCCCCCCCACTCCCCTCATCTTTCTGACATTGTGGTACTGTTGTTCCAATAAGGCCTGAGCAGAAAATAGAAGCTGCTTATTTCTGCGAGATGTCGTCTGGACGTGCTTCAGCAATCACGACTACAGAACGTGCGAGAGAGAGAGAGAAACGGGTTTAGCGGTTATTGGCGTCCGACATCGAAGTAAACACTCGATCAGGTCAAAAAAAAAAAACAGACGGAGGAGCCTTCAGGGGGTGGCCGGGGGTGGGGGGGGGGCATACCACGTCTCTTCATGTCCGTGCACATGGCTAAGGAAGTTTGGAGATATTACATCCCGTTTCTGACTTGTGTACATCGGTCACTTCAAAGACGGAGGGTGTGTGGAGGTGGAGGTGCGCTGGAGGAGAATTAATTTAAAATCGAGGGGAACAAGGCCTGGAGGGGGGTGGAGGGTTGGGGGGAAAGCTTCTCGCTGTGATTTGTTATGGTCGTCTGGTTTGCGATTATGGGCTCTGTAACTTATGCACCGTTACAGTGAAAAAAAGCTTTGACCTTCATGTCTCCACTGCATTAACCAGTTTTATACAGCTGCGCTCTTTGAAGCCGTCTCTTCAAACCTTCCTCGTCGGTCGTTTCTCTCCAACCATTCCTCTCAGATTAGTATAAGTGCACCAGATGCCCCCTGAATGATATTTTCCATTATTTCAGCCTGTTAAAAATTTAAATGTGTAGTTTTTTTTTTGTTTGTTTGTTTTATTAAGCAACATAATCTTATGAGTGAATTTAGCCCAGTTTAAGGCTAACGCATCTGCATTTTCCCAAATGAAAATCAAATTCAGATTATTATTTTTGTTCATCTGTTAAAAACAAGTGGTCTGAAACGTATTTGAAAGCAGCCTGAAATCCCTCATGCACACTCTGAGACACACAGAGGGCTTCTCTCGTCATTTGTCAGGATGGGGGGAGGGAGGGGGGGGGTTTGTCTCTGACATTTTTCCCTGCACACATTCTGCCTGGTGAGCGACAGACTCTCAAATATCAGCTTAATCCAATAGGTTTCAGGTCATGAAAGATTCAGAAGTTGCTGTACGTGCAAAGAAAATGTAATGAATATGTAAGTGATTTATATATTCTTTCCCCCCCACTGGAAAGGTTTATGTACCCAAAAATATTAAGCATGGTCTGGATACTTGGTTTATGTTTTGATCTTTGGCGACGACAGTATATTCATCAACTGTATTCAGGGTGGTGATTACATAATATTCCCCCCTTGCCCCCTCCCTCCACTTTGTAACATCAGCATGATGCTACCTCTCCCATTCTGGACAACGGGGACAGCGTGTCCAAGTTTCAGCCTCATAACTGTTATTTTCAGGTCAAGTTGAACAATTTGGACATAATCCTTTGTCTGTGTTCGTCCGTCTATTTTGTGTAATACGCTAGTAACGCTGTGCAAACACAGTCCAGCAGCATGATGATACACTGCAATGTTTGGCATTTTGGTCTTAAAAAGCCTCATCTTGACTCCTTGTGTCATTTGACTATAAAACTTTTGTCCAGAAGATATCGGACTTGTTCAAGTTCTGCGAATGTCAATCAGGCCCACAGGTGTCGATTTTAGACCAGGTGCTTCATTTCTGTTCTGCACTCTTGTGAATCTGTGGAAATGTGAAATTGGCTTCTCTGACTGGCAAACGCTAAAGCTTCTGGAAAGGCTCTCCAAAAGCCTCAACCCTCCCTTCCTGTTGAAAATGTTCAGAAATGACGGATCTGTGCCAAGCAGCCAAACAATTATAATCAGAACTTCACACCGTTTGGCTTACTGGTTTATTCTTGTAGGGCTCATTTATGTTGTTTTTGTCTGTAATTTCCATAATGACCTGCAATGGTGGTTGGCAAAGTACTTCACTAAATGGAAACTGCTCTTAAAACATCATGTAATGTCCAGTGAAAAACACTTAAGGACTTAAATTCTGCAAAACAAGAAAATCTGGCTTCTTTGAGGCGCTATTTAAAGAGAACGAGGGAAACGCTAACGTCTGTGGAAGTTCTGAATACACGTAATATTTCAATCCCGGCTCTCCTTCTGGACGTCCCACAGGACAGGTTTCTGCTGTTTACAAAGGCGGAGGAATCCACATTTATCTGAATAAGTGCAGTTTGTCTCACCTGTGTAAACAGTTTAATGTGAGGAACATTAAACAGAACAAAGTTCAGAAGAGCTCTCACGCTCAACTCATGCGAGTTGAGGAAAAACCAACGGGCCGCTAGCTTGTTTGCGACAGTCGGGCGTGAAAAACAAGGTTTCGAGATCAGTCGGGGGGGCGGAAAGTGGAATGTTAACCTGGTGACACGCACTCCTTGAGAAGAGACCAACTGTTGTGCTTGAGAAGGAAAATGCGTGAACTAGTTGCCAAATTTCGACCCATGCATCATGCTGGGAGTGTGTAGGGGCCCGGGAGCAAAGCCAGATCTGTGTAGTAGGAGATTTGCGTGCGTTTGTCAGCTACATTCGTTAAGGACTTTGTAGATTCTCAGTGTTCATTCACTGTTTAAAACCCAAGGGATTTATTCTACAACCTAAAATATATGGTTCTTTGATTAAGTATAGCTCATACATAAATACTGTGCTCTAGCTCATGCAGTGTCTTATAGCTGCCTCTCTGTTTGGTGTATTACTTTGATTTTCAGCCACTCCTGTTACTGTGATGTTTCACTATGGCCAACACTGTACATCTTGAATTATTTTACTCTTAAGTAAATTTCACCACTGCAAACAAAAGCTTGTTTTCTTCAAAACAATAAAAAAAAAAATCTAAATTTTCTTTTGTGAAATCTCTTAAAGCTGTTGATGTGACCCAAAAAAACGCTGCCACATGCAAGGAATCCGTCTCCTACGAAAAGTCTGGCCAGGTTCCTAAAGCGTGCATCTCTGATAAATAGCTGCGTCAAGCGTAGAGTTAAGAAGGTCAGGTTTAAAATAGTTTTTCCAAATAAGGGTGCCAAGTTCGGCAATCCTCAAACGCAACGCCTCACATCACTCATCATTTCTAAGGCACCAACTTTGTCTCTTGCGATGATCCATCCCTCTTTTTTCCCCTCCCCTCCCTCTCCTCCTCCAGTACCCAGCTGCTCTGATGAACCTTGGCGCCATCCTTCACCTGAACGGGAAGCTTCCCGAGGCGGAGGCCAACTACCTACGAGCCCTTCAACTCAAACCCGACGACGCCATTACTCAGTCCAACCTGCGCAAGCTGTGGAACATCATGGAGCGACAGGGGCTCAAGACGAAGCAGAGAGAGGAGCCCTAAACCGAGACGACCTGCTGTCTCGTCTCTTGGCGGCGCTCGAAGCGTGGAGCGGAACGGAAACAAAATACTCAGTCGAGTTCTGGGACGGTCGAAGTAGGTGTGTTTGAGGTTTGACGGCAAACTTCTGCATCACGCCACAGTGTTCGTTTGGTGGCTCAGACTACTAAAACTAAATCTGATGGTTCTTTTACCATAAATGTGACACAGCTCTTGTTAAAAGGAGGAGACAAAAACGGAGAGATGCACCGAGAAATTGGCTAGGGACGAGCTCCGACCAGTGGTGTCAAAAAAAAAAAAAAAAAAAAACCCCAAAAATGTTTTTTTTTTTTAAAGCAAAAAAACCGGGGGCCCAAAAACGACCAAAATTCGGGTG